TCAACTCTTGTAGCGAGCCACGCCAGCAAAGCTCCGCTTGGCTTCCCACAATGCAGTTCGGCGAAAAGTGAATGGTGAAGCTTTCAACGCACACCGCTGTGTGGACGGGCCGTTACAGTTTCCTCTCTCTTTGAGATATTCCAGAACCACTTTCATTAAAAAGCAGTTAGAAGCATGTTTTTGTATTCAGCAATATATTCATTTTTTATTTTTCTGTGCTGCAAGCAAGAAGTCATTTTGTGCTTATAAAGTGAAATGTACCATATCTCCATCTCCCAGAGTGGCTGCTCCCTCCGCTTGCTGAATCCTCAGGCTTTCTCCTCCGCCGTGTGGAACGTGCTCTCCACCCTCCAAGAGCAGTTTGGCAGCATGGCAGGAGCCAACGTGTGAGTATTTGGCAAAGTTATTATTCTGGAAGCATTTAGGACTCCTTCAGAATCTATAATGCATTTGTTCCCTTTGACCAGTTACCTGACGCCACCTGGAACACAAGGCTTCGCTCCACATTACGACGACATTGAGGCGTTTGTGGTTCAGCTGGAGGGGAAGAAGCATTGGAGAGTGTACAGCCCCAGGTGAGATACAGCAAGGAACCTTTGAAAGAACAGCAGCGAGTTCATTTCACACTTTATTTGGCTACATTAACAATGCAGAAACTGGTAGATAATTGTAACGGTTTGAGATTGAACATCTAGTTTTATTTAGTTTTAGTTCATTTAGTTTTTATCATTTGAATTAGAATTTTTTTTATGCTCTACATTTACCATAATACAATCATGACACACTTAACCAGATTGAGTAATTGAGGGATGATGACCTCAATGTACGTTTTTTTCTGGGTTGTTTTTGTAGGTCAGAAGATGAAGTCTTACCCGTGCTCTCAAGTAGTAAGTAGAACAATATTTTCATTTATTTACTAAGACATTCAAATAACTTTTAGTTCTAAGGATTAATTAATTATTATTTTCCTTATTTTCTAAATGTTGTATTGTTATTTATCATTGTCTGTCTGCCATATTTATTGTTGTCTTGTAAAGTCCTTTGTAGCTTTGTTTATGGCTATATAAACCCCTGTTGTTGTTATTATTATCTATAGAGAAAGGCATTTGGCTCAATTTGGTCGGAAACAATGTTTGGGGATAATTATTTACTGTTGCACAAATCTTAAAAATTATGTTAATCCTTTGAGTTTCCTCTTTAGCAAACTTCAATCAGACAAACATCGGGAAGCCCATCCTGGAAGTGGTGCTAGAGGCCGGGGACCTTCTTTACTTTCCCCGGGGATTCATCCACCAGGGTGACTGCCTGCCAGATGCTCACTCGCTCCACATCACCGTCTCCTCTTTCCAGAAGAACAGCTGGGGGGATCTGCTGCACAAGGTGATACTTTCTGGTCAATGCCCTAATCACAAACCTACATAGTGAACAGAAGGCAGCTTCAGTTGGCATGTTCATTTATAACGCAGTACAGGATTAGCTAAGAGACGGTACATGTGGACATGTTTTTTTTTTTTTAAATATGTATTTCTTTGTATAATGTATACAGTATTTACGAATAGCATTTTCCTTGATACTTGGAGGTGGAAATGGAATTCAACCGACAGCTACTTTTGTGAGAGCTTTCACATTTGCTGATCTAGACACATTTATATTTTCTTAGAAGAAACATTTGAGCAATGAATAATTTGTGTGCAGCTAGATCAACATATTTGTTTCGGAATGCAAAACAAGTGGAGCTGTTTTAGCACACGTGGTGTAACAAACCCTGACAATCAAATAGGAGAAAGATAGTTCTAATCAGTTCTGGTGTATAATGTTTCTGAATTGATTCTGGATACAAGCGTTGCAGTAGGTTAACAGTGCATTTAACCACTTTAATTAAAAAAAAAAACAATATGTATTTTTTCATTTACCAAAGTTCTTTCCACTTTAAACTGCCCTCTTTCAGGTTGTCCCTGCAGCACTGGAAATAGCGATGGAGGAGGATGTGGAGTTCAGACAGGGCTTACCTCTGGATTACCTGACATACATGGGAGTACAGAACTCTGACAAAGTAATTCATCAGTCATTGTCTCATTTATTTATCACAGTCCCCATCCTTGTCTTTTTTACCAATTACCCCTCAATGACGCTCCTCCTCCTCCTCCTCGTGTGTGTTTAGGACGACCCCCGCAGGACAAAGTTCTTCTCGCGAGTTGAGCACCTGATGAAGAAGCTAACGACTTACGCCCCGGTCGATGCTGCCGTGGATCAGAAAGCCAGAGCCTTCCTGCATGACTGCCTTCCTCCCATGCTCACACCGGGTAAATGTGGCCATAAACTCACTTTACTTAATTGCGAAGGAAATTGCACTATTGCATTTAAGTGTTATTGATTTTTAAACTATACAGAACAGCTTGAGATAAACACTTCTATTTTAACCCTTTCACACCATCTCTCACAGAGGAATTGGCCACCAGTGTACTGGGAGCATCTGCGAGGTGGGAGCATGGGCAGGTTATGGATGTAGGTGCAAAAATCACTGCCAAGACACGAGTCAGAGTTCTCCGTGGTGGATGTGCCAGGTAATGAAACATTTTGACGAGTCTAACGGCACGTTCACACGCCTGCCTTCGTATGTTGTCAGAAACACCTGATTCAGTAATCCATTAGAGCAGGAATGTAAAATAAGACAATCTTAAAATGTAACTTTCTGTCTTCACAGATTATGCAGTGACGGAGAAGCTGTCCATCTTTACTATACAACAGAAAACTCCAGAGTTTACCACAAAGAGCAGCTCAAGAGTTTTGAAATAAAAGTAGAGGTAAGTTCATAAATGTTTTGCATGTTGTGTCCTTGTGCCGGGGCCACTGCCTCATTTTGTTTTTGCCTTTCTTTCAGCACACCGACGCCATTGAGTTTCTGATCCATTCCTATCCCAAATTTGTGACAGTAGGGAGTTTCCCTTGTGATTCTGCTGAAGACAGGGTATGTTGTGTTAAGTGCATATTATTTGCTGATTTTGGGCCTGTTATCAATTTTCTTTTGTAAATGTGCATGTTCTTATTTAAACATCCTGATTTACAGCAATATTCTAAATAATAATCTTTTGTTAAATAAGCAGTTTTCGTGATTCTTTGTTTTTCATTTCCCCCCCAGATCACTTTGGCTGAGCTGCTTTTTGACAGGGGGATTATCCACACTGCAGATGCTCTGTAGTGGCCACGGATTCTTCAGTCATGCATGAAAAGATTGTCTCTGTTCAAAATACTGCAAAAACACTTCTTGTTCCATGTCGTCTTCATTGGTTCAACTGGAACGTTCAAGCTAAACAAACCATTTATTAATTTACTCTGTTCAGCATCAAATAAACTTATAAGAAAGAATCTCATGTGTCATCTAACCAAAGCAACAACCAGTACAAAATGATTTTCATGACAAACGTCAAGTTTATTATCGGTTGATACAACTCATATTAAAGATTATTGGGAGATCCGACTCAAAAACAGATGACATCTTAAATATGCGGATTTGAGGGACGGTCACACAACATGACAGGGAGGGTGGTCTACTTCCAGGTCACCTCCTCACCAGGCTTCAGCTCCCTAAAGACACCAGAAGTAAAACAAGTTGTGTAAACTTCATATAAACATACATGCTTTCTTTCATCACTAAGCATTCCTCCATCTTACTCTTTACACATAGCATTACGTTTAAACTGGAGGGAAATGCATATTATATAGAAAAAGCATCAACATAAAAGAAAGTGCTCTGATAAATGTGGAGGAAATGTTTTTCTTACCTGCCGAACAAAAGGCTTTTGTTCCTGAACGCTGTCAGCTTCGTGTCCTGCAGTCTGTCAAGGTACCATCCGAAAACAAAGCCCATAGGCACCAGGATGTTTACCCAATGCTCACGGGCTAGAGATACAAAGTTGACCATGGTTTCTTCAGAAATAAGCAAAAGACAGACATAATGTAATGTTAATTATGTGGGACTGATGAAATACTCTGATTTAAAACAGGTTGGCTAACATTTACAGTAATAGAGTGACTTATCCTTTCAAAAAATAAGTTCACCAAAATACTTAATACTGACAGAATCATAGAAAACGTAAAATCTTGTAATTGCCTTAGCTTCTCTGTGGTGCAGATATGGGCAAAACAGGTGCTACAATCTGACCTGCAGCCCTACACAGAAGACTGGCACAGGACTACACTTTTGTCTTGAAGAAATTGCATCTTTATCTGAGGGCCTTCACAAAACTAGTCTGATTCTGTGTCACAAATAGAGCAGCATGAACATATTACTAAGGGGGAATTTATAAGCTTACACAAAGCCAACTACATTAAGCCGTGACCGATTACATATTTTCAAATCTTTGTTTTTCAGATTTAAGGTGACCTTACTTGTGCTGACAAACAAAACAAAAGGGGGATCGTTTTTGAAAATGACATTGTTGCTAATGTTTGTCTGAGCTGATTGGTTTGTAGGTGAGGGTGATCTCTAAATTCAATAAATTAAATCTCTAGTTAACTTATATGAAACAACAGGTAGAGTAAATAATCTCAAACCACATGTGATGTACTTCTTAATTTAATATATGCATTATAGCAACCCACAAAATAGTTTAACTGCACACTAAAACAACTCACTGCACCACAGCCACCAGCTTACTAATCAGCTAGCTAGCTGGCATTATACATATGTGTCAGGTTTTCGTTGAGAATGTTATTTCAGTTAAATTATTTTGTGTTTACAACAGTTAACATATCAGATTATAATAAAACCAAAAAAGAAAGAGACACGATGTAGGAATATGCAGGATATTACCTTGTGTTGACGCTCGTCGTGGCCTTCAGCTCTTCTCTCACCAGGCAGAGGACATTGGACTCTTCCAACTGTGCAAAGGCGACAGTGCTACATGAGCAACATAAATAAAATGTATTACAGTGATCACCCTGGCTGTGGATTGTAATATCAATTTTCACTCATGAATTGGAAAATGTAAAGCAAATCTATTGAATTGTCTTGATAACATGAACAAACGTTTTATTTTCTTATACTTTTAATTTTGTTCTAACACCGCCCTACTTGGTACGGTCCTTTGCCCTTTCACACATGATGCAGCGGCAAAGATGTCTGCTAATCAAGTGTGTACTGAAAACGCTAGCCAAAATGTCTTAATGTTACAATTATAGAACATTTTCTTATTTTTTTTTCTATTTGAACGGGAGAAATTTCGCATTTCCTCGTATTAAGTGGTACGTTGCACCTTTCTCCGTCGAGCCAAGCCACTTACATCCACACGTTTAGTGTAGCTAGCATGCTAAAAAGACATACATCGCAGGGTACTTTGTTATCGGTGTTGCTAACTAGCTGTAGCTGGCAATCTAAATTGTGTTTACTTTTAAATTGACTCACTGCTTGATGAGCCAGCCGCATATTTGATAGACCTTACTTATGCAGCATAACACTATTGCATCGTATAGGTTCATTTATACTTGTTACGGTTTTTTTTCCCAAAGATTTAAATGAATGAGTTCTCAGTCGTAAACAAAGTAATAGAGCCATAGTAGTTGAGATTTAACTGCATTGTTTATTTGGGTGGTTGTTTTGTGTTAATCATTGATCATCTATATTGTACTTTCAGAGAGACAACTAAAGAAATATGACGTCCATTATTAAGCTGACAGCAGTGTCAGGGGTGCAGGAGGAGTCTGCCCTGTGTTATCTGCTGCAGGTGGATGAGTTCCGCTTCCTCCTGGACTGTGGCTGGGATGAGACTTTCTCAATGGACATTATCGATGCTATGAAACGGTATGGTATCCCTCTTTTTATTAGATCAGTTTCCTCCTTGTTCTGCTAATTTGACATTTATGTGATGTCCATTTTCCCTTCAGATATGTTCATCAGGTTGATGCCGTGCTCCTCTCCCACCCTGACCCCCTACACCTGGGAGCCCTGCCATACGCTGTGGGGAAACTAGGTCTAAACTGCACTATATATGCCACAATCCCTGTCTACAAGATGGGTCAGATGTTCATGTATGATCAGTTTCAGGTAAGAAAGGGATGTCATGCATGTTAAATAATGTATTAAGAGAGCTTCTTTGCATGACTAACATTTATGTTTATTCATATCTCCACTTAGTCTCGAAACAACAGTGAAGATTTCACACTGTTCACCCTGGATGATGTGGACTGTGCTTTTGATAAAATCCAGCAGCTGAAATACTCTCAGATTGTCAATCTGAAAGGTGAGTTAGTTGCAGACCCTTACTAGTCAGGATCCACCCCTGTTTATGTATCAACGATAACCATATTTTGTATATCTTTATTTTTACCCAATAGGAAAAGGGCACGGTCTTTCCATCACTCCTCTTCCAGCTGGTCACATGATCGGAGGGACTATTTGGAAAATAGTGAAGGATGGAGAGGAGGAGATTATTTATGCTGTTGACTTCAACCACAAGAGAGAAATGTGAGTACACACCAAACAATGAGAAATGGAAAATTCGTTTCTAGATTGGCTATTAGTTCTTAACCTTTATAACTCTGTTTCTATATTCTAGTCACCTGAACGGCTGCGTGTTGGACAGCATAAGTCGTCCTTCTTTGCTTATCACAGACTCCTTCAATGCTAGATATGTACAGCCGCGTCGCAAACAGAGAGATGAGCTGCTTCTTAGTAAGTGATCTTTACGTGCCTCTATAGTAGAAATGTATAATTGAACCCTTCGCCCTACAAACATATCTGAAAAAAGGATTATAGACTAAATAATTTACCAAATTATAACCTGTAGTTAAATTATTAATCTCATCTGAAAATAACTAAAGTTAATGTTTTTTTTAGAAAACTATTTTTATATTGTGTTTATAAGTCTGTGTCCTACAATAATTACAATCCCCCCCCCCACTGAGAGTGTGTGATACTAAATGAGAAACAATGGACAGTCTCAATAATTACTTCACGCAGAAACAGTCAAATTAAGACTGTAGGAACAGATTCTTTTGAACAAGGATTACACTTTTGTTTTACCCTGTGTTCCTTTTGTGTTTTTATCATCCCCTCCTCCAGTTCTGTAAAATAACTTTTTGAAAAAATTAGTTTATCTTCAAAAATAATCTACAATTGTTTTTACTCACAGCCAATGTAATGGAGACTCTTCGCGGTGACGGTAATGTCCTGATCGCCGTGGATACAGCGGGCCGTGTGTTGGAGCTGGCTCAGCTGCTGGACCAGATTTGGAGAACAAAGGATGCCGGGCTGGGAGCCTACCCTCTCGCTCTGCTCAACAACGTCAGCTATAATGTGGTGGAGTTCTCCAAGTCCCAGGTACCACTGGTTTTCACACTTGATACAGTTTCATCCCACCGGCCACAAGACTGTTAAACACCGGAACTTTTGAAAGAACATCCATAACATTCATCTGTTTGCAACTTATATATATCAATATTCCAATTACCTGTATATAGACTATTCTGCACTATTCCTATTATATTCTATTTTATTATCTGTTTTATTGTGTTGCACTGTTGGAGGAGCCTAATGCTGCGTTCACACCGGACGCGATTCGATTTTTGGGGGCGGCGCGATCACATGTAAAGTCAATGCAGAGACGCAGACAGACGCGAATTCGCTCCGACGGCGTGAATGAAGCGGTGGACGTGGTTCGAATCACGCGATTGGAGAGGGCCGCGTCAAATGCGAGAGTTCAATTTTTTCAACTCGAGCGTCAAATTCACGTGGCGCGTTCTCGCGAAAGCCAATCAGCGATGGGATTCCCTCTGACGTCCTGCTGTTGATCGGTTGTAAAGATGGAAGAGATGATCGTTGTGGCTGTGAGTGGGTTCCCGGAGATTTACGATACAATGTCGTAGCCTATATCGACCGGGACCGCAACAAAAAGGAGCTGGCTTGGAGGAGAATAAGAACCCGGACACGGCGCTTGTTGCTACGTTTGTAGGACTTCCACAGAAGGTACAAAGCAGCAATAGTTGTTATATCCTCCATGGTCAAGGACAGAAATAACCAAAACGATCTTGCATGGAAGTGTAAACAACCTCAACTGCCCGTCAACGGCGCGACGCGTCAAAGGTATGTCTGTTTTGAATGACGCGATAAAACAAACTGCAAGCCGCGGTGAAAACTGCAAGCCGCGTTGAAACTGCAAGCCGCGTTGAAACTGCAAGCCGCGGTGAAACTGCAAGCCGCGGTGAAACTTGAGCGATTGGCCGGTGTGAACGCAGCATTACTTTCATTGTCATAACAACACTGTTGCTAACACTGTTGCTATGTACAAATTACAATTAAGCCTTGAATCTTGAATCTTGAGATGATATCATACTCTTCTTCTCCTGCCTTGTTAATTAACCATCAACATTCTTAAGATTCAGAATCACTTTATATAATAACATTAATGTGTTCTTCCTGTAGGTGGAGTGGATGAGTGACAAACTCATGAGGTGTTTTGAAGACAAGAGAAACAACCCCTTCCAGTTCCGTCACCTGACGCTGTGCCACAGTCTGGCAGACCTGGCCCGGGTGCCCAGCCCTAAGGTGGTGCTTTGCAGCCAGCCTGACCTCGAGGCCGGCTTCTCCAGAGAACTCTTCATCCAGTGGTGCCAAGACGCCAAAAACTCTGTCATCCTGACCTACCGCACCACACCTGGAACCCTGGCCCGCTACCTCATCGACAACCCCGGAGAGAAGATGCTGGATCTGGAGGTGAGAGCGGCAGTCACGATGATAACTCACTGTGTTTATCTCTGATTGCAGCCCCATGGGGAAGAGCCTGTCTGTCACATTCAGACTCATAACTCTTTACTCCATGTCCATGCTTCATTCTTCTCATCATCACAGGTGAGGAAAAGAGTGAAGCTCGAAGGCAAGGAACTGGAAGAATTCCTCGAAAAAGACAAAGTCAAGAAAGAAGCAGCTAAAAAACTTGAACAAGCTAAAGAGTAAGTCGAAACAGGAATGTTGTATGCATACTATTTTATTCTCTTTTAACAGCTTAAAAGGAAAATATGTAAAAAGCCAATAGATATGCAAATAGTGCTCTGGCTTGAACATTTAAAACAGGCTATTTAAATGGTAATCTTAAAATGGAAGATGACACTTGACAACATGTATACTCCAGGGTTCTAAAAAAAGTGGAAAAGTCATGGTAATTCAAAATGCTAATTCCAGGCCCTGGAAAAGTTATGGAAAACAATATTTTTCCCAAAGTCATGGAAATGTAATTAAAGTTGCATCAAATATAATTTATATTTTAGCTAATCGCCGAAACAGTAATATTATAATGATAATAAATACTGTGTCGTATTAAAATGGCATTTAACTGACGAGCTGTTTTGCTGGTGAGAGATTTTAGTTGCTTTAGCATGTAGAAGCTAGTAAGCCTACTATTTGATTTGTTTTAGATCGGCACAACATGTTTCATATGCAGACCTTATTTTCCTGTTCCATGTTAAAAAAAGAGTAATTGTTTTGGTCATGGAAAATTAGGTAAAGGTCATTGAAAATCATTGGTGAAAGGGTGTACGAACCCTGATACTCAGCAACTGTAGAAAAATGTGTTTTAAAATTGATGGCAAAAACAAGGAGAACACACACACACACTTTTAGGGAAGTTGCTGTTTGATCCCATCCGTATTATCGGAAAACTGCATATGTACACAGTTAATGTTTATTCTAATGCACTTTGCAGGGTGGATGTAGACTCGAGTGAAGAGAGTGATATGGACGACGATCTGGATCAGCCCGTTGTGTTGAAAACGAAACATCACGACCTGATGATGAAGAGCGAGGGCAGCCGCAAAGGCAGCTTCTTCAAACAAGCCAAAAAGTCTTATCCGATGTTCCCCACACACGAGGAAAGAATCAAATGGGACGAGTATGGGGAGATTATCAGGTACTGCAACAGTGATACACATGGACATCAGATCACAGGAATATGGACTAAGAATGTAAAGACTATTTGATGCTTTTGTTAATAAGCCAGAGTTGTTTTTTCACAGGCTAGAAGATTTTCTGGTTCCTGAGCTGCAAGCCACAGAGGAGGAGAAAAACAAACTGGATTCGGGGATGACCAACGGAGACGAGCCCATGGACCAAGATCTCTCTATTGTTCCCACCAAATGTGTCTCCAGCATAGAAAATCTCGAAATTAGGTCAGTGATTCCTTAAAGGGGCCCGAACATGCACCTTTTCCTGGTNCATCTTGTCTCAACTTGTCTTCATCTTGTCTCAATCTTGTCTCACTTCTCATCTTGTCTCATCTTGTCTTCATCTTGTCTCATCTTGTCTCACTTGTCTCATCTTGTCTTCATCTTGTCTCATCTTGTCTTCATCTTGTCTCAATCTTGTCTCAATCTTGTCTCATCTTGTCTTCATCTTGTCTTCATCTTTTCTCATCTTGTCTTCATCTTGTCTCATCTTGTCTCCATCTTGTCTCACTTGTCTCATCTTGTCTCAACTTGTCTCATCTTGTCTCATCTTGTCTCATCTTGTCTCACTTATCTTGTCTCATCTTGTCTCATCTTGTCTCATCTTGTCTTCATCTTGTCTCATCTCATCTTGTCTCATCTAGTCTTCATCTTGTCTCATCTTGTCTCATCTCATCTTGTCTCATCTCATCTTGTCTCATCTTGTCTCATCTTGTCTTCATCTTGTCTTGTCTCATCTCATCTTGTCTCATTGTGTCTCACTTGTCTCATCTTGTCTCATCTCATCTTGTCTCATCTTGTCTCATTGTGTCTCATCTTGTCTTCATCTTGTCTCATCTTGTCTCATCTCATCTTGTCTTCATCTTGTCTCCATCTTGTCTTGTCTCATCTTGTCTCATCTCATCTTGTCTCATTGTGTCTCATCTTGTCTCGTCTCATCTCATCTTGTCTCATTGTGTCTCATCTCATCTTGTCTCATCTTGTCTCGTCTCATCTTGTGTCATCTTGTCTCATCTTGTCTCATCTCATCTTGTCTCATCTTGTCTCGTCTCATCTTGTGTCATCTTGTCTCATCTTGTCTCATCTCATCTTGTCTTCATCTTGTCTCATCTTGTCTCAATCTTGTCTCATCTTGTCTCATCTTGTCTCATCTTGTCTCATCTTGTCTTCATCTTGTCTCATCTTGTCTCATCTCATCTTGTCTCATCTTGTCTTCTCTCTCATCTTGTCTTCATCTTGTCTCATCTCATCTTGTCTTCATCTTGTCTCATCTTGTCTCCATCTTGTCTCATCTTGTCTTCATCTTGTCTTCATCTTGTCTCGTCTCATCTTGTCTCATCTTGTCTCATCTCATCTTGTCTCATTGTGTCTCATCTTGTCTCGTCTCATCTTGTCTCATCTCATCTTGTCTCATCTTGTCTCATCTTGTCTCATCTCATCTTGTCTCATCTTGTCTCATTGTGTCTCACTTGTCTCATCTTGTCTCAATCTTGTTTCATCTTGTCTTCATCTTGTCTTCATCTTGTCTCATCTTGTCTCAATCTTGTCTCATCTTGTCTCATCTTGTCTTCATCTTGTCTCATCTTGTCTCATCTCATCTTGTCTCGTCTTGTCTCATCTTGTCTCATCTCATCTTGTCTCATTGTGTCTCACTTGTCTTCATCTTGTCTCATCTTGTCTCATCTTGTCTCATCTCATCTCACTTGTCTCATCTTGTCTCATCTTGTCTTCATCTTGTCTCATCTCATCTTGTCTCATCTTGTCTCATCTCATCTCATCTTGTCTCATCTTGTCTCAATCTTGTCTCATCTCACTTGTCTCATCTTGTCTCATCTTGTCTCATCTCATCTCACTTGTCTCATCTTGTCTCATCTTGTCTCATCTTGTCTCATCTTGTCTTCATCTTGTCTCATTGTGTCTCATCTTGTCTCATCTTGTCTTCATCTTGTCTCATCTTGTCTTCATCTTGTCTCATCTTGTCTCATTGTGTCTCATCTTGTCTCATTGTGTCTCATCTTGTCTCAATCTTGTCTCAATCTTGTCTCAATATTGTCTCCCTTGTCTCAATCTTGTCTCATCTTGTCTTCATCTTGTCTCAATCTTGTCTTCATCTTGTCTCAATCTTGTCTCATCTTGTCTTCATCTTGTCTCCATCTTGTCTCATCTTGTCTTCATCTTGTCTCATCTTGTCTTCATCTTGTCTCATCTTGTCTCATCTTGTCTCATCTTGTCTCATCTTGTCTTCATCTTGTCTCATCTTGTCTCATCTTGTCTTCATCTTGTCTCACTTGTCTCATCTTGTCTCATCTTGTCTCATCTTGTCTCATCTTGTCTCATCTTGTCTTCATCTTGTCTCATCTTGTCTTCATCTTGTCTCATCTTGTCTCATCTTGTCTCACTTGTCTCATCTTGTCTTCATCTTGTCTTCATCTTGTCTCATCTTGTCTCATCTTGTCTCACTTGTCTCATCTTGTCTCATCTTGTCTCAATCTTGTCTCATCTTGTCTCATCTTGTCTCATCTTGTCTCATCTTGTCTCATCTTGTCTCATCTTGTCTTCATCTTGTCTTCATCTTGTCTCATCTTGTCTCACTTGTCTCATCTTGTCTCATCTTGTCTCATCTTGTCTCATCTTGTCTCATCTTGTCTCATCTTGTCTCATCTTGTCTCATCTTGTCTCACTTGTCTCATCTTGTCTCACTTGTCTCATCTTGTCTCATCTTGTCTCATCTTGTCTCATCTTGTCTCACTTGTCTCATCTTGTCTCAATCTTGTCTCATCTTGTCTCATCTTGTCTCATCTTGTCTCAATCTTGTCTCATCTTGTCTCAACTTGTCTCACTTGTCTCATCTCGTTGTCACGGTACAGGTTCGATTGAAAGACTCCCTGGTGAGCTCGCTGCAGTTCTGCAAGGCCAAGGACACGGAGCTGGCGTGGATCGATGGCGTGCTGGACATGCGCGTGGTGAAGGTGGACACAGGTGTGATGCTGGAGGAGGGAGTGAAGGAGGAGACGGAGGAAGGCGAGATGCCCATGGAGGTCGCTCCTGAACTGGATATCGACCAAAACGCGACGGCGGTGGCCGCCCAGCGCGCCATGAAGAGTCTGTTCGGAGAGGACGAGAAGGAGGTGTCCGAGGAGAGCGACGTCATCCCCACGCTGGAGCCGCTGCCTTCCAATGAGGTAAGGCGGGAACACGAGCAAATGTGTTGCAATGATCTGTCATTATTTCTGATTAGGAATTTAGGGGTTTTGGAAAAGTGTCATTTATTATTATAAGTATTTGGGTTTCCACTGAAGTGTTAACAATTCGAAAAGTTTTAACAAAGACAAGATGCAATATTTAGCAAGATCAGTGGCACCTCATTTTGATAAGCAGATTTACATGAATACATGTTTCAATTATCCTTTCGGGGTTCTAGGATTTTCAGTTTACATTTGAACCCAATTCACTCACAAGCAAGCTATTCGTGAGGCTTTGAGTAAAAACAATTAGTATCTAGTTTTGCATGGTCCCATTAATTCAATCTTTATGTATATATTTATATATTTTTTCCAATTACTTTCATGACATGAACTGAAAGATCTTGAACATTTGGATGGAAAAAACACCTACTCAATCTCCCTGATTTAAAAAAAAGAAAAAAGAAAACCAGAATCTATAAATATGCAAATATAGAGATTTTCATTTCAAAAAAGCTGACCACAAGCTGTCTCCCACTGAATAGTCCACTCTCCGTAATTGCTGTCTCAAATCATCACCCGAAGATGTTAAACTGAGATTTAAGTGTGAGATCAGATAAATGTTCTCACTTTGACGAAAATCCAAAATGTGATTTAAGCAACAGTGACCAAAACGGCTAACTTACTTTATAGTCTTTGCATTAATGTGAATTACTGATGGCTATAAAATAGCACAAGCAGCAGATGACTTCTAGGTGTCCTGCAGCTAGTGGACGCAAACCATTAGTCCTAAAACGGCATGTTGTCTGGCCACAGGAAAAAAGACAGTTTTCTCAAGGTGAGTGGTACAGATCACCGTGAGCCTGATTGAGAAGGCGTTGGAACACCATTCCACCAGTGTGTGTCCACAAGGTTGTATAAGCACTTGAGACAGGCCTCAGTGTGATTGGCGCTCTCTTCCGCTCTCCCTGCAGATGCCAGGCCATCAGTCGGTGTTCATCAACGAGCCTCGCCTGTCAGACTTCAAGCAGGTCCTGCTGAGAGAGGGCATCCAGGCCGAGTTCGTGGGAGGAGTGCTGGTCTGCAACAACATGGTGGCCGTCCGCAGGGTGAGTTGTCCGTCCCACCGGCTCAGAGTGTGCTGTCCGTCAGGTCGCTGCAACACGAGTCCCCGCTAACAACGTACAGCGAGCAGCGCAGAACACATAGGACACAGGCTTGTTTTACGCCTACACACTGAAAATTCAAGATTCAAGGCTTTTATTCTCATTCATACATAGTGTTGTATGTCGATGAAAATCTTAGGTCCCAGGCTCCTCCAACAGAGCAACACAATAAAACAGATCACAATTGTGCAAGTGAATACAATAAAATAGAATAGAAGTAGAGCCATAGGAGTCTATATACGTGATACATAATTTGTAAGACAGGTGAATGTTATGGATGTTCTTAGTGTAGGTTGAGTTTTATTCCAAATGTATTCATATTTATAAGTCCATGTGCAAGGAAGGTGCATAGTTAATATATAGCCACCGTTTTAATGAAATTAGAAGCAGGTAGAATTTAAGGACCAATTAAAATTAAGTATCCAATTAATTTAAAGAATTTTAACAATTATTTTGCAAAAAATCCCTTCCCATGTCTTGTCTGTCACCCTCCTGACACTTCTATTGTATGTATATCATTTATTAATGCAACAAATATCTAATTTATCTTGAGATATATGAGGTATTTATTTCCCTAAATATTGTTGACGGAGCCGTCAGAAGTACCGATGCATAGCCAGAAATTGTCCACATTAGACATGCTAATATTGTTGCTAATAATAACCAGAGGAAGCAGAAGTTGTAAACTGTAGTTACAGTAGATTAAGGCTGATCAGTATTTAACAACATAGTCATATAATATAACATTACAAATAATCAATTTGGCCCCTGGGGTTAATAGTGTCTTAGTTCTGTGTTAGGCTGGTTGTTGATGGTTTATAGGCTAAGGTGTATTTACTTGTGCATTCTACAATAAAATACCAGTGCTTAATAAAAAAAGGAACATTAAACACAAAGGGAAGTTAATACAGCCCGCCTAAATAGGATTTCCTTCTTCTTTTTTTTATACCCGGTGGCATAACAAAACATCTCGGCTCAGAAGAAATGCACATAAAAATAATCACAGGCAGAACTTAACAACTAAAGGAAAAGTAAGAGGGAGCCAGGGTACCACCAGCAAAATGCATAATTGACAAGAACTTAAAAATAACCCCAGAACTCGCAACCCAGAAAACGAGATCAAAGCGAGCTGAGGCTTTTAACGGAGTGTGTCCTCGTGTGTGTGTTTTTTTAAACGGGAAATCTTGAAGTGGAACGCTTCGTTACACATTTAAGTCTGTGAACAGTGTGTGGGAATGATTTGGAAGCGTATTTATTTCAGAGGTCAGCATTTTTCTTTTTAGAGGGCAGGGCTTGTAGCTGATATGTTAAAATGTGGAGCCATGTTGTTCGAAATGTTAATGAATGAACCCGTGTGACCTGTGCATCTTTGTCCAGACGGAGGCCGGGCGCATCGGGCTGGAAGGATGCCTGTGTGACGACTACTATAAGATCCGGGAGCTGCTGTATCAGCAGTACGCCGTGGTATAGCAGCAGCAGAGAGGAGGAGAGAGGAAGAGGAGGAAGTGGAGGAAGAGGAGGAGACGCAGCAGAAGAGCAAACCACGGCAGTACAGAGACAATCCTTTACGAGGACTTTACCCAGAGGAGCAGAGTGTACCACACTCCCTCTGCCTTATGGGCGGCTCCAGCTGTTTCACTGCAAACCCTGTTGTATATTTTCCCTTTTTATAATTTTTCTTTTTTCTAGATAATGTTTCTTCTTTTTTTTTTATTGTTAGTTTACCTCTTTGAATTGAGACAGATGCTGTCCATGGACTGACCTCTTTGTAATCAACTCCTCCCTCTGTACAGTCCTGATGCACTGGATGGGAAAATGGTGTTTCCCCCTATCCTGTTGTCATTAAAAACAGATTTTTTTTTTCAAATACGCGTCCCAGATTTCCGCATTTGGGGTACTGAACCCTCTTAACTACTTTTAATACTTTCTGAGTAAAGTGGGGCCGCAGCATCAAGAATCTAAATGTGGCTTCACGTTGTGTGCACAATTCTTAAGCTTTGTAAAAAAATGACTCTCTCACACATTCACCGCTCCATATACTGTTTAATAGATGTGTTAGTTTGCCTCATACTGAGCATTGACAGGTGTTTTGTCATCTCAATTTTCCCACTTATCAGTAAAATTGTTATCATGCCATTTACAATACTTTCTTTTTTCCTTTGGTTCAATTGATGTGGATATATTTACACTAGAATTGGACATCAAGGTAAATGACAGAGGACTTCAAGTTAAATGACAGAAGAGATATATATATAAACCTATTCCCTATACTAAAATATAATTTCAATTCCCATACAAACACTGAATATTTTCTAAATGCAGCGCTTGTGTTTTCACGTTGGTGAAGATGTAACTCCATTTGCATCTATTTTGTCACATTTGTTTTTTTATTTGCATCGTTTTTTTTTTTGCACCCGTCGTCCACCATACACACACACACATCCAGATAGGACACACTGGACTAACCCCCATGAAATAACCAGAGTAATGAGTCCTTGTGCGTAAAATAGCCGTGAATATTCCTTAAACTAATTGTGAAGTTTTACTGCCGAAGCTACCAAATGATCCCCAGCTCTATCCATATTTGATGGGTTTTACACAACATTTACTGCCTACTAGGTCACCTAGTTCCTGCAGTAACACCAGATGGAGACATTTTGCAGCTGCTTCTAACCGGCCTCTGAATACCCATATCAAATCTGCCCATGCAGCAGGACCATCTGTAATACAGCGGTGAGATGACATTGTCCCTGAAGTGATAACTGGGATTGAATATAACTCAGCATGCAATCTAGTGAGCCAGGATTACTGCTCCTCTCTTTATTTCAGGCAACATTTATCTTGCAGCAAAAACACTTTATTTTATTTTATATACCTCCCTGGCTGTTGGTGACAGGGCAGAAAATGAAATGGTTCTGCAGTTTGTTTTCTTATCTTTCTCAGGCACACATGGATATGCAGCATCACCTCTGCTGTGCTCTAGTGAGGTCTAACCGCTGTATTAGGGAGGCGGGTGATAAGAGGGGATGCAGCGAGGGTGGGGGACAGGCAGGGGTGTCATTGGCGGAGAGATGTGTCCGCTGCAGCCGTGGTGGCACATTGACTCGGTTGATTACGTTTTCATCGCTGTGTGAATCCCCAGAGGTAGGTCCTTAACACAGGCAGCTGCGGATTCCCACTTTTGGATACACCAAAACATATCCCCCACAACTCCTCTTCATCATCCCACACTCTCTAGCATCACACGTAGGTGGAGACTCCTCCCTCACTGATTGGCTGTTGAGCAATCACAGGGGGGTACACACACACACACAAGTAGGACAGTGGAAGTGTGTGTGTGCACGGTTGGAGGAGTTAGGCTCGAGCACAGATGACTGGCTGACGTGCGAGCCAGTTTTTTTTTTACACTGTTGCATAACATACAGTTTTGCACTTTAGAAACATTACAATTTAAATGCTCTTTTTTAATCCGTGGCTCACACACGCAGAAAACTTTCATGTTGCATCAATGGTGCCTTTTATTTATTTCTGCCCCTCCCTCCCCTCAGCGTCCCTAACCTGTGACAGACAGAGTGAGAGATGGAGAGAGAGAGGAGCTCTTCTGTGCCACAGAGCCCTGCCCAGTCACTGCTTTTCATTTTGATAATTGACCGCCAGAAATGTCCATCAGCTAATCCTCTTAGCTTTCATAATGCTGACTCTGTCACAGAAGCCCCTGTTTTAATGTAACGAGCAGCTAAGCCCAGAGCACAGGGCAGACTCTCCGCCCCCCGAGGCTGCTCTGCCCCCTGGAGGCCGGACAGAGATCTGCTGTCAACTCAACAAGTGCCCTGCCAATCTGTCCAATCTATAAATCCATCAACCCCCACTCCTCCTCTGCCTTTCACAACATACACATTGGCACAAAGCTGTGCTCAAAAAAACGAGCACCTTCCTGACCGCTGTGCATCCATTCATCTGTGTAAAGGGAGGATGAATGGATTTAATCTCTTTGAATTCCCGGTTTACTCACGAAGCAGACCACTTAATGCCAAAGACATCGATGTAATAATGTGAAAGGGGGACACATTTCTATGAAACCTGACAATATTCAAACATAGCATAAGGCAGTGATTCTCAAATGGGGGTACGTGGACCCCTAGGGGTACGTTGGGGTACTGCAGGGGGTACGTGAGGTACAAATAAATAAAAAGTTTAATTAAAAAAATACCATGCATGATTACAAGAATAATCTTAGTACAATAAGTTAAATAGAAAACACAATTGTATATAAAATGTTCCTAGAACCACCAAGGGGGTCCTCATATAAACATGTTACATTTGTGTATTGTATTTATAGTTTTTAATTATTCATTTTCATTTTGTTCATTGGTTTGTTAAACATATTAATTCAATTGAAAAACTCCTTGGAAAAATATGTTTTCATGCATAAAGATGAAAATATCCTTAGTTTGTTGTAATTCATGCATTAATATCAAACACTGATGGAACATCACTATATTGTAATTATTTATATAGGCTTTTTCTGTCAAAAATGTCCGGGGTTGGTCAGGGGGTACTTGGCTGAGAAAATGTTTCAAAGGGGTTACATTACTGAAAAAAGTAGTTTGAGAAGCACTGGCATAAGGCACCACAATCCCATGATACCCTGCTCTAAAAATTGAACTTGTCACTCGGCCCAAATGGACGTCACATTTAAGTTTCTGGATATATATTACGGTTGTTTCACCAGCTCAGGCACAGGTTTTGAAATGAATATGAGTCATGCCTCCATGAGTTTACCATTGTCATGCTTTCATATCACCTTCTGAGGAAATGTAATAGACGAAACCAAAGCTTAAATAATTATCTAGACATTCGAAAAATAGGCATAAAAAGAGAATTTCGACAATTATTCCAGCCCCCTTTTTTGTGCCTGACATATCTGTAATTTCTGACAGCCATAATCTCTCCCACTCAATGAAACACAATGAAACTGTCACAAAAACGTACACAGTTGCAAATCCACCATTTCCATTTTAATATGTCATTGTTAATTATTTCTCCAAGAATCGGTTTGTGTTGAGTTGCCTTTTGAAACAAAAATGAAGAACCTAAGAGTAGCTTTAGAAGGTTTTTGGATGCTGTTCATGGTCCTTCATGCTTCTAGTCTTTTCATTTCCTTTCCACACATCTTAATTCCTCTCTAGGCCCTTTTCACTTTCCCCCCCGCCTCTTCCCTAATTCCTGCCTCTGAGGGTAATCCCCATGTGCCAGCATCTGCCTGTGGTAATGGTTCTTCAGTGGAGGAACCACCCTCTCTTTAAGACACGCATAGAAGGGCTGTGTTGAGCAGGAATCCTGAATTACAACATTACGGAGGTGATCCTCTTATGCAACCTGCTCTTCACACCCATCCACAAAGCGGGGATGCTCACGAGCACAAATCCACGAAGGCACTTGCTGACAGATTATCCGCAATCCACAATACTGCAGCTGCCATGTTTCCCTTTTGATGAAACAATGCGTTTTGTTGGGTGCATTCAGGGGACTCGCGCTGTCTGGCTTCCTGGCACAGACATTTGGATGACTTATTGATCATGTGTATGTGACTGGATATTTAGGACAGATCACATGAGATTGTTTTGCTTGGCTTGTGTACAAACAGTGCATTCTTCTCCTCCCAGAGCAGAAACAAACCTGACCAGTTGGTTGTCCGTAACTTGAGGCGATGAGGGCAATAGGATCGGGAGACACGTTCTTGGACGAGGGCAGTCTCTTAGCAAACTGCACTCAGGCGGACATGTGGTTGCAGCCAGTCAGCAGAAAGCATCCTGCCTGGCCTGCTCTTTCCGCTCGGCACATCAGAGGCAGCCGGCCTTATCTGATGTGACATGGCGGACACCACCTTGAGAGCTATGAGGAGACCCTGCCGATGATTAATTCAAGCTCAGAAAACACGGAAAGGATCGGCTCTCCGTGTTTACCCCTGCAGACGTCTCTCCTAAACTGAGGATGACTCTCTGGCATGACACGTGTAATAAGGCTGAATCATCCGCAGCGAAATGATGTCGAGAAGAGGCCAGGCCCGGGAGTGTGAATCCAGAGGAGTGACTCTGCACTACAACTGTTTGTCTTCGTGCAGCTCAGTTTACATGCCAGCACTCTGAGCAGTGAGCTGCAGACCTCGGTTAAAAGTCCAAATTAAATCTGCTTGCTTCAACTTGAGGTGGAATATAGGTGAGCATGCAAGCAGCATCTGGGAAAGATAATGTCCAATCACAGGCAACTGACTTTTTCCTTTCCTTGCTTTTTGTCACTCACATTCTCTTTGAGGCAGATTCTTGCTGAAAACAGATTTGACAATAACCACAATTTAGGATTTTTGGTTAGAAAAAATCCCTCTGTAGGGAGCTTTGGGATTTTGCCTTTGCAGAACATTCACCAAAACCTAAATAACCAACCCAGTCTCACGGTATTTCGTGTTATACTCACGAAATGAATTTAATCTATTGATTCGTGTTCACCAACACAATTTTCTCCTTTTTTTCGTGTCACACAGAACGATTTTAAAGGCAATGTATTTCTATTGGTAGTTTTTGTCCGGTCGGGTCTTGGAAGACCGGAAGCTGTGTAGTTCATAAAAACATTTTCTTACTCAATATCTTACCCTAAGCCTAACCTTTTATTTTCCATTGTATAATGTCGGGACTTTTTTTGCCGTCCGTGAGGAAAACAAATGGGCTCACGAGCCTCAGAATACTGAAATCTGTATTTTTGTCATCTTTTCCCTCTTCCATTCATCCATCTTTCTCCCGCTTATCCGTGTCGGGTCGCGGAGCTGCAGTTTCCGCAGGAGAGCCCAACTTTCTTTCCCTGGCACATCACCAGCTCTGACTGGGGGTGATCCAAGGCGCTCGCCAGGCCAGCAACGTAGGATAGTATCCCTCCACTATTCTCGGTCTGTACCCTTGGTCCTTCCGCAAGGCTGGACGTGCCCTGGAAACCCTCCCGTGTAGAGCGCCAAGTGGCATCCCTAAACTAGGTGCCTCGAACACCTCAACGGGCTCCTTCGACGGCGAGGAGGAGGGAGCGGTTCAGACTCCGAGTCCCTCCCGGATGACGACTTGCTCACCTTAGTCCCTAAAGGAGACACC